CAATTATGTGATAGGAAGTTACTAGCAAAAGAAGTTAGAAAATCATGGAGCAAAATGCAAAAAGGGAATCATATTCTTTTCTGATATGTTTTTCAAAATATATTCCAAAATATTATTTTAATATATTTTAATTAAAAAAATAATCTCATAAAAATACTTCACACCACATTATAAGCCCACACTAAATTATTTTCCAATCAAATTTCTTCTGCATTCTATCATTGTTGTGGATCGATAGGATACGAGAAAACACCATATACTCAACAATGCTTCGGACTTTAATAGCCTTTTAACACGGGCTCCAATGGAGGTTGGATATTATTTTTTTCAATAAAAAGAATTTGAAGAGGTAGGCCTCTTTTATCTTTTTTTAATAAAAAATTATAAATATAAATTAAAAAAATATTTGCATATATTTAACTAAATAAATAAAAAATTATTTGTGTTAATCAATAAAAAAAATAATTAATAATAACTAAAAATTAAAAAAATAAAATATAGATGAAGATTAAAATATTTGATCTTAGATCATATATTCGGTTGTATTTAATGATTTTGTATATTAATATTAATTTTTTATTTAATCAAATAATAATAAAAAAAGACATAAATAGAATTGATTGAATGAAATAAAACAGGGAAAAATCATGCAAGATTGTACATATTAAAATAATTTTTTTATTTCTTTTAAAAAGTTTATTTTTATAAAACATAAAAAAATTATTAATGAATTAAAATAATACATTCAAAAATTAAATACATACAAAACATTTTAAAGAAAAATATCTATTTAAAAAAGGCTAAATAAGCAAAATAAATAAATCATGGATGGATATTAACTGCACATAAATTTAAATAATAAAACCATCATTAGAATAAAAAATTAAGAAAAAGTCAATGATAATCAAGGTGATGCAAGCATGTTTAAAATAAATAAGAAAAATAATTGACTTGGGTTATAGACCCAACCGAGTTTAATAAGTTGATTATATTTTAATTTGATGATAAAAAAAGAGGTAAAAATGATAAATGAGTAAGATTTTTATAAAAATAAAGACCACGAAAATATAGAAAAAAAACTGGAAGCACGAAATTGAATAAAAAGCAAAAAACAAAGATTGAGTCAATCCGAGTTAGCGTTATAGACATGTAACATTGATAATAAGGGGTGAGCCAACCTGAGTTAATATGCAAACTTGTTGTCCAGAACATGAGACTAATATAACCTAATAAAAAGAAATTGAGAAAAATCACAAAGATATTTTTTCTTAAAAAATAATATCAAATGATAAAACCGGAAAAGAAAATGAGCTCGAAAAAAGGTATCAACCTATATTAACATTTCAAACCCATGACTTGGGTCATTAAATTGGAAGTATAAAAAATGAAAAAACCATAAAGCTTAATCCTCAACAAACCTGAAGGATGAAATTGAGAATAAAAATCAATTACACAAAAGCATCTAAAATAAAAACTATATATAATTAAAAGAATCAGGGTGAAAAATAAATAAATATATAAGAGGACAACATTTTTTTTATTGGAGGGTTAAATTGAAAAGAAAACAAACTTTAACAAAAAGCGAGGAAAATTAAAAGAATAAGGATCAAGTTGGAAAAAAAATAATATTTGATAAATTATAATTGAAGGACTAAAATGAAAAAAAAACAAAACTTTTACAAAAGAGCAAAAAGAAAATATAAATAAAAAAAAATAAGGATTGAAATTGAAATACCAAAAATAAAGAGGACCAACAAGTACATTTTAGAAGAGGAGAGAGAAAAATAAAAAAACAATTATTGACGACAAACCACCGTCGCACCTATACCTATCAAACTCGGCTCGGCCCATCAGGTTAACTTGGAACTCAGATGACTCAAGGCCTTAGCCGGGTCTGAAAAAGATGAAAACCAAGGTTACAGTTGGCTCGTGGAGACCCGAGCGACCTGTTGGGTCAATCTAGAACCTTCTAAATTAATTAGATCATGTCAGGATAACTCTAACATAATTTAATTTAAAAATTAAATTATACAAAAATTAAGTCGAGGGGTTTTAAAGTTGCATCTTTGTACTAGATTTAATAATAATTTCAAAAAATTTCCTATAACTTCAACTTTTTTTTACATTAAAAAAAACTTTTGGTTCAATTCACAGTGTATGAGACCCCAATAAACTATTTTTATTATTTCATTAAAAAAATTGATATAAGCTACAGATAAAAATGGGAAAAGGTGAATAAAAATGGGAAAAGGTGAATTAAACTTGGTGCATTTTTCACTAATAATAAAGTACCTTATGAAATATTGAACCCTTTTTCTAGACTTCACTAATGGTGAGGTAACCTCCCATGGATTTATGGCTAGAAAAACTTAGTGCCCAATTGGTAGAATATTCCAAGATTAGAGTGGAACATGCTTCATTAAGCATTAACATCCACGGTTCAACAAAGAAAAAACCACATCAATATATAAAGGCAAATGACACAAGCATATCTCATAGTTAATTGGATGTTTCTTGACTATCCATCTTTGTGACACCTTTTTTGATATCACATGCCTTCTCACCATTGATTTAAGTAGTCGGATAACAAGATATCTCAACACCTTAAAAAAAAATATGATTCAAACATATTAAATGGAAGAGTAGAGTTAATCTCAAAACGTGTGTAAAACGAGGGCTTTATAATACCATTTAATTGTAAAGAAGGAGGAGGAGGAGGAGGAGGAGGAGGAGGAGGTTTGAATTTAAAGAATTCACACATATATACTCTACTCCTTCACCCTTTTAATTACCAAAACCTACCATATAACAAATTATTTTCTTTAAGAATTACCAAAAGATGGGAATTTTTGAACCCTAGGGTTCTTTTTAAGTGGTCCATGGATCTCTCTATTAGGTCAACAAAAGAACCAATGCTTTTGCTTGATAATAGCCTCTCTCAACTAGCTACATATATAGTATACATAATAATAGAGTCACCCAACAGTGTTTCGCTATCTTACCTCACTGTTGGTTGGCATTATACTTCTTTTATTGATAGAAAAGGCATTTCCTTTCAAGAATTAACAAATCAAATGACACCATTCTTTCATTACTCCACTTCAGTCATGTTCGCCTGTGTTCTTTATACCTTAATAACATGATTTAGCAATTATAATAAGCTACAAAATGACCTCATTTCCCTCTCTTTGGTGGAAGAGGTAGCTAGGTGCATGAAGGGGTAGACCAACTGTCTTCGCTCACATGTTAAATATCATACGTTAATCCACTAATTAAATCATAAAATGGTGAAAAGCCGGTGCTATGAAGATAAGGATTAGTGACATTAAGCATTGATTAAGTTTATAGCTGCAATGAGTTTGCATGATGTGCTTTTGGTTAAATGGTGGAACTTTCCTGACATGATCAATGGCATCCGATAATTAACTACCTTAAGATTGTGAAAGTTTCACGCTTTTGTTTCTAATTTGCCAACAATGTTTTTTCCTACCACATATAGCTTTGTTCTTCTTACCAATTTACTATTTTAGGCCGTCAAGAATTCATGTTTTTTTTGTCTTTTTTTTTTGGTTGAGAATAGTAAGGAATTCATGTTGTTTCAAGGCTTTGATCAATATTTTTGTCAAGACGGCTCCTCATATGAGATCATGAAAAATAGAAAGAGCACATAAAATGACAGCCATCAAAAGCCTAAGTCCATATTCTAGCCTCGGTCTGTCCAAATTCAGCGGTTTCTACCCAAGTAGCTCTGGCCCATGATTCAAGGGATCTGCAACCAGTTAATCATTCTTTCTTTATTTTCCAATCAATCCCTTTGATTTCGTTTCTGCAGCAGTATATAATCTCGGACCCTAACCTTGATGCCTACAGCTTAATTTGTTTTTTCAGTGATGGCAATAATCTTCAAAATACTGTATTTATATTTATTAAATTATCAAATTGCTCATGAGACATGATAATTACAAAAAGCAATAAGGATGAAAAGACAAAAGGCCTCTCGATGCAAGTTAAAAAAGAAGAAGAAGAATAATTTAGTTATTTAACTGTATTTTAAAAAGAAATAAATGCAAAAAGATCTGAAATGCTATTTTTAAATAATTTTACTTTTAAAGATAAGTTAGTTGTTTCACTATCCCATCAAATTGTTAAAAAAAATATTTACTCTTAATTAATATGATAATGATAAATAAATATTATTAAAAAAAATTATTATCTCCTATAATAAATAAATTAATTTTATTTAAAAAAGTAAAATAGACATTATATTATTTTTAATCCATAGAACAATGAGTTTATGAACATAATGTTTTACTAAAGTCTTTTTAAGTTTTTTTTTTTTAATAAGTGAGGTTGAAACACGATACAGCTATTATTTCAATGTAATTAATTGTCTTAAATTGAAATTTCACCCAATTTTAATAAATACAAAATATTTAGATATAAAATTGTGTTTGATTAATATTAAATAGAATGGACAGAAAAGTGTTTTGGTTGAGTCGGTAGAAATGCAAAATAAATATTTTTGAGACAATTTTGGTTAGAAAAATAAAGGCAAAAACATAATATAGATGTTTTTAAAATAAATTTATATATTTTTAAAATAAAAAATAAAAAATATATATATTTTTATTTTTAAAAAAATTATTTTTATACAATAACCAGAAGATATATCTAAGTATATAAGATGTAACATCATTTGATGTTTTATTAGAAAGTTTTTATGAGGTGAAAAAAGTTTTATTATAAAAAAGTATAGATCAAGATTTTCATTTCATTAAATTAATAAATAAGCAATTAGATTTTTTTAAAATCAATAATTATTAATCTTTGGAAAATTCAAAGAACTAATTTTAAAATTAATAGTTTAATTTTTTTAAAACATAATAGAGATTACTCAAAATCAATTTTTCAAATTCCCACTTTTGTCAACTGTTTCTCTATGCCACATGTCATTCCATAATACACACAGCACACTCACTTAACCTCTGCTCTCTAATACAAATCACAACCTCCCTTTATAAACCCTAAATCTCCAAGCCCCTTATAGGCTCTCTTGTCTTCTAATGATATCAAGCTCTCCCATTTCTCTCCCTCAACAGTCCCATTCGTTTGGTTTCATCACACCCATTATTCTCCAGACACTTCGTCACAACCCCACAATCGGTTCTCTCTCTCTCTCTCTCTCTGCTTTATTTTTTGTGCTGTATTTATTCATGTGTATTTGAATATATTGCTATTAGGCTCTTGGTTTTCAGTTTTTACTTGGCATTCAAAATTGGAATTGGAAATCCAAAATGAATGAGACCCGTCCTTTTATTTTCTTAAAAACCTCAAAGTAAGTACTCGGGGTTATAGGATTGTATGCAAAGTTATGTGTTTTATAAAGTTTAGGGTAGATTAAGAGATGTTTGTTGCAATTTAGTAATGGAAGATGCTAAAAGTTTGTTTTTTTTTTTTTATTATGGTTTTGGTAAATTAATGCTTAATTAAAGAATGGGCATCCCTTGGTTTTCAATGGTGGTGTTTTTTATCACGTGTAAATGTTAGGGTAGATTGAGATATGGTTTTGTGGCTGTTTAATCTTTAAAGATGCTAAAAGATCAGTTTTTGTGGCGGGTATGGTGAATTTGTTGTTAATGGAACGATGAGTATGGATTTGTTTTGATGGGTTCTTGATTATTTGTATTTGCAGTAGCCATGAAGGTGAGGTCATCAGTGAAAAAGATGTGTGAGTTTTGTCAGATAGTTAAGCGTCGTGGACGGATATATGTAATCTGTAGCTCTAATCCCAAGCACAAGCAACGTCAAGGCTTTGCAACATTTGCTTACAATGGCCTCATGTGTGTACTCTATCTATCTCTCTGTAACTTGGTTTGTTTTTATTTTCAGATCCTTGTGATTTTGAATGCCCTTTTTTTAGATTTTATATGTTTTTTAAGATGCTTAAGCATATAATCAGTTGATTGTCTCTTTGCATTGAATGCCAGTTTTGTTTCAAACAATATGCTTGGAATGAATTTTGGTTAAATTGTTAGTTAAATATATTGTTTTAGTGATTGATTTCCCTTTTAGAACTTCTGGCATGTATATAGAATCTGAAAACTGAAAGGGCTTGGTCCTTGTTGACCTTGTTTGTACTCGTGGTTTTTTCCACAAATAAGCCATCGTATCAATTGATTGATAGTGCTTGGCAATCCCAAGATATCATAACTGTACCAAAACAAATGCCTAGATATCATAAGATACTCTGCAACTCTTGTGGAAGGGCTCTGAGCTGCTTTGAGTTACTAATGGCCTCCTACAAAAAATACTATGAGACAGAGCACCATATATTAATCACTGAGACTGGCATCCTGTCCTCATATTTACCAGCTTTAGCACTTTATGCATACCAACTAATTTATGAACTGGAGAGTGTAGTCTTGCCCAAGTAGTTATGCATGATCCATCAATTTGCTTTCATGCCATTGCAATGTTGAAATTCCCCTGTTATTTTTTAAGAGTCAATTTTTAACTCAACACATCATTGTGAAGTAATCTTGGTGTATTCTTGATCATTGTTTTCACTCATTGAGAAATATTCATGCGCTTTACTAGTTCAGTTCAGTTGAGAACAGTTTATGATGACAAGTAAGAACCAATATGGCATGCTAGACATGGAGATTTTATTGGGGTGCAGTATGAAAAACTGTTTGTAATTGAACAATTGTGGAAATTTAGTAATGTGCTTGCTGATATCTTTTCTAGATCTGCGGAGACCACAGCCCCACCGAGAATTGTACCCAGTCAAAGCATGGGAATAGGCCTGGCTTCTCTCTTACCCAAAAAGTATGAACCATCAACCATGTATGGATGGAGGGCTGGCCTTTCATCTTTCCTCTTCAAACAAGGGAATTAGCTGGTGAAGAATTGGAGTTGATGATTGACTTATTGTATCTGTTTTAGGCCTCATGGAAATGTTATATCACTCAACTTTTTTCAGCAATCTGTTTCCTTTCACTTTGCTTCTACTTTCACTTTGTTGTTGATACTCGTTTTTCAAATCTGGTACCATGATCGTGCTAGCACTCATGGTTTAGATTGCTCTGTTTGATACAGTACATGGCGTGCGTATGTATAAGAAACTCCAAATGCCTTTGATATGGCCTAGCTTCTTTCACTTGTACGATAAAAATAAATGAGATCATAACAACGAGATTTTTTTTTTTTGGCTGTGTGAAATTCTTGGCATTCTTCAAGACGGGTTTGCATGATCATTGTGAAAAAACGGAACTGTAGTCTGATTTAGCAGTTGAAATCAGTATGCTCTCTATTCTCTTCTAAATACAAGCATATCTACCATCTTTTTTATTGAACTTCTCCTAGTTGCACTGCAGCCCCGCCTGCATTCTTAAAAAGGCACTTAGAACTTGGAGATTGTGGCAACAAGTTTAAAGAGTACAGAGAAGTTATGAAGAAAAGAAATGTGCTTAGCCTAAGTTCAAGGGGAAAACCACGCTGACTGTTGTCATTGGAGGACACTCGCCTGTACTTGTCCAAAACACCCTAGCCTCATCATTCTCAAAACCCTAACCATGAAAATTACGACGAACAAGATATATTTCCAGGAGGAAAACACGCCACCTCTAAATAAAGAGAAGCCCCCTCTAATTTCATTTAATCTGTTGGCATCCAAGTGTCAGAACAGCAGTTAATCTATCTATATTTTAAGATTGGACGAAACAGAAGCACTGTCCACCACAGGAACCAAAAGCTGTTTCAGTGCATTCCCATTAGCGACAATCTTCCAAATTGCCGGCATAAAATAACGGACTGCATTAACATTCAAAACTACAGCCTCTATGTATATTGAATTTTGTTCCATCTTCTATTAGTTTCCACCATGCTAGTTTCAAAATCATGTTCTTAAACCTATACTCTAATTTTTTTAAATCTAACGATTCTTCTCTTATTAACTCAAAAATGCAAGACAAACACATGATTTATTCTTCTTTTATATATATGTGACAAACAAAGATGTTTAAAATAAACCGTAAATTCCAATAATACATGTTTATCTTATATTTTTAAAATATCATATGTTTTTTTATAACAAGTTTTAACTGCAATTGTGATACATTGTTTAAATCAAGTAAAATTCTCACGTGAATTTCACATTATTTCTAAAATTAGTTTTTATATGAACTCCAATCTTTGAATATCTTGACTAAGAATTAAGGACATGATTGGCACAATTATATATACAAGGATTTATTGGATATTATTTTTAAAATATAAAAATATATGAACTGCTTAGCATATTCAGAGTAAGATGTATTTTTTATATCAAAATATACAACTTGTAAGTCATGTAACTTTTCTTTTAATTTACTTTAAAAAAAATGGATAAAAGGCATATTAGACAACAAAGTAAAGTAGTATGTAGGATCATGGTTTTTTTATTTAAAATAATTTTTATTTAAAAATATTATATTTTATATTAGTGGATGAGAGATTGATAATTAATCTTATTAAAAATAATAATTGTTAATTTATTATACGTGTTTTGAGATATCAGGTTTAGACGTGGACTCGTATCGTTAGGAATAAAATTGTAAGGACAATAAAATTCAAAACGGATAATAAATAACAAGTTAAACTGGACTATTACAAAAAATATATTAAAATAATATTTTTTTAATTTTTTAAAATTTATTTTTAATATTAATATATCTTAAAACATTCAAAAATACATTAAAAAATTAAATTTTTTTTAGAAAGCGTTACTGCGCTGCTAAAATAAAGAGGCTCTAAAATCATTTCTCTAATTTTTTTATTCAAAAACTGACATGTTTGGATAATTTAACATCGAATTTTTCATTTTAGAATGAATTGAATTGTTACTGCCATTTAAAGTCATCAACAAATAGCAATTAGGGTACCAATATATTTACCCTCCTAGTTTTCTTAATATTACACCTGCCCCTCTGTACTTTGAAAAGTTTCCAATATTACCTTTATACTTTTTAGAAAGTTTTACTTTTACCCTTTAGAACTAAATAATGAACAAAAAACTAACTTTTTTTATTTTTTTCTTACTTTTATCTCATATACTTTTCTTTCAAGTTAACATATGTAAGTTTACACTAACAATTAACATATCTCAACGATCCAATAAATCAATGGCTATGCTGCTCCAACCTATGATCCAGAGATAGAATCTTTAAAGGAAGCTATAACATAATTAATTTCTTTTAATTTATTAATTTTTATATGAATTACTTGTTCAAGATTTGATCAGAAAAGGGAAACTGGTAATATAGTAATATTAAAGTTAAGAATTAAAATTTAAAATGTATAGGATTAAACCTTCAACAAGGTAGAACATAATAATAATAATAATAATACTTAAGTGAGTTGTGGCGATGGCATGAAATAAAAAATTACAATAAATTAATTCCCACTCACCTAAACTTTAAGGATAAAAAATTGATCCAAATAAAAAAAAATATCACAATAAAATATAAAATTGAAATCTATAGATTCCAATATAACAAATAATAATAATTTGTTTTTTAAAAAAGTAGAATATCAATAATTTTTTATCTATGCTGTAAGCAAAAAAAAAAAAAATTATATCAAAACGAATAAATTCTTAAAAAGTAAATTCATAAGAATTATATAAAACAAATTTATCTAAAGGCGGTAGAAAGAATTAATTAGCAGTTATAAAGTAATAATGGCTGTTAAAAAAGGAGCAGAAATATCAAACACCACAACATTAATTACTTAAGTAACTCATCATCCTCTTTAATACCATTCACTAATCGGCTTTTCTTCGGTCTCTACCACCACCAAGTTCGACATTAACAATTAATGGTGATATTGAGTAGCTCCGTGCCTGCTTGGATCGGTCACTTTCTCGCTTTTATGGGGTAAGTCCTCAGAAACCCATTCGTTGTTTCTTTATTTGGTTATGATTGGCTTTCATTCGTGGACTACTGGGTTTGGTACTAATGAGTGTTGAGTCCATTGGAAGAGGGTTAGATCTTGAATTTGAGCTGAGAACCTTAAAAGAACAACTGGGTTTGGTTTCTTTTTGGCTTATAATTATGGTTTCTTCTTTTTTAAATACTCCTGTGGCTTCTCTATTTTTGGTGAAGTTAATTTATTTTTTTGTGGGAATTAATGAAGATGTGGTGGGAATTGGAAACTTTGACTTGGATTAGTGTTTCATCTAAAGAAAGATTGGGTTAGAGGAGGATCTTTGGTGGCTTGAAGGAAGGAAGTTGTCATAAATTTGGAAACTTTAAATTCAAATTCTGTGTGCAGTTGTGGAAAACTATGTCAAAGAGCATGGATTTTTAAATAGATAATATTTTTAAAACTCGAAAGAAGAGAAGATTTTATGTTGAAATTATAGTTATTATGTTTTTGTAATGGAATTCATTTTTGGTTGAGTTCTAGTCACCCAAGAAGGGACCTAGCTAAAAGTTTAATGGTTAGAGTATTAAGCATCTTAGTTAATTTGGGTGCTGGAAGATGGCAGTTCTTGTAGCTAGAGAACTAAAATTAGAACTGTTTATGATACTATAGCTGTTCGAAGGTTAGAAATCTATTGCCAGATAATGGATCGTATTATGTTGTTGCTTATTCCTTTCCAATAAAATTAATCAAGCGAACAGTAATTTGGGTCAGTTTGTATAGTTGTTGATTTCTGTGCTTCAACTGTGCCTTAGGGGTACGTCTCAAGAGTGGAAAGTTGATGAACACAACTCAAACCAATCAAGTATTACCCCAAACTACTCATTATCAGCTATATGAATCCTTGTTGTGCCCTTTAAGTTCTAGCCCTATTTAGAGCAACTTCTTCCATTAGCTCCGTGGCAATAAAATAGAAAGAAACCTGTGAATGTAAGTTTTACTTCTTTATTCCTGCTCTGTCTAGAACAAATGTTTGTGGGTTTGTTGCACCTCGATAAATTAATGGTTGTGAATTGGATTGTATGATGTTTCTTATCTTGTTATCACCATTGTTACTGTCAACTTTCATACATATGGTGCGAAGACTTAATACTTTGTTGTTGTTGTGTTTTGCATTTTTATATATATGCTTTAACTTGGTTTGCAACAGAACAGTGGCTGTTTTGGATGCTGCACTAAACCCACGCCAATTATTGCTGTGGATGAGCCATCGAAAGGATTGAGAATACAAGGGCGAGCAGTGAACAAACCTAGCATATCAAATGATTTTTGGAGTTCCAGCACATGTGACTTGGACAACAGTACTGTTCAGTCTCAAAGAAGCATTTCATCAATCAGTGTATCAAACCACAATCTTGGTAGCAGCACTGGTAGCTTGAGCACCAATAATGAATTTGTAAATCATGGTAAGTTGCAGCTTATCTGTTCTAGTTGACTGTTCATCATGTCATGTGGCATTGACATTTTGTTATTTTCAGGTCTCCTTCTCTGGGAACAGAGAAGGCTTCGATGGGTTGGAAGTGGCACATCTGGGAACCAAAATCAGCGAAGATGGGAATCCAGATTAAGGTAAGATGGGAATCCAGATTAAGGTGTTTTCTTTCTTCTAAACATTCATTATTTTGATTCAATTGCTCTGGCTTTCTCCAAACCCCAGTAAAGGCAACATTAATAAGAGGTTCTCCAGCTTTCTTAGTTCTTTGGCAACCCTTTTTTTCTGTTCTCGTGCAAAATCATCACTTCTAGTGGTTGCCTGCTCTTGTGGCTTCTAATCCCTGTTGTGTTCTCATATATCACAATCAGCACGTGGTGCTGTGGTGACAGATAAACTGAGGATAGCTTAAGAGTTGGATTTTGTAAATTCCTTGCGTTCTGCATTTTTTCTTTCTCATTTTGGTCTGCTGTATCTTTTCAGCTGGAATGCAACTGAAGTTTTGCTAGGTTCCAGAAATCCCTTTCCTCGGCCCATCCCTCTTTCTGTAAGTTAATGCATGTCAGCCCCCCCCCCCCCCTGTTTTTTTGTCTTTTTTTTTGTGTAAGATGATTGCCCCCCCCCCCCCCCCTGTTTTTTTAGCATTTCATCGTAACTGTACAGTTTTGACATCCACGGATTGGATTTTAACTTATCAGGAGGTGGTTGATTTTCTGGTGGATGTATGGGAGCAGGAGGGATTGTATGATTGATGAATTTCAATTGTGAAGATTGTCTCACCTTTTTCACATATATTCCTATAACTCGTAAGAATCTTCTGTAATTTGTAAATAGCCATGTACAAAAAGAAGAGAGAGAGAGAGAGTGAGAAAGTCCAAGGAAGTGCTTCCACTCAGTTGTAATTTAATGTCAAATAACCATCCTTTTCTTGTTCTGTAAATGCCATGTTGAAAGCATATTGTGTACCGAATACAGTACTAGCCACTCTTCTATTGAATGCATCTTGGATCTGCGTTGATTTATACATGATCTTCGTAAATAGCATGGTGATGAATCGCACACAGGCGATGCTGGGCATTTTTCTTGTGGAGTAAGATTCCACTACAGTCAATTGAGCATCCAGTGAAGAGGTTCCTAGTTCATTTGTCATGTGTTGTTAAAATCTGATGGTCTAGAGGCCCTAATGTATCAATCTGAAGATGTCCAACTTAAAATTCATCCTGTAAACCACACAAAATTACCACTGTATAGCACTATCAGGCCGATCAGATGTGTTTCTAGTTCATTTCAAACAATCCTGGCAGGAACGGCCAAGGCTGCAGATGTTTTTGGATTTCTTCATGTGATATCCTCCTAATTTTAGTCATTGAAGATGGCCAGATAAGAAATTGCAGACGGGTTACTCGAAGTAAATCCAGAGTGTTGACAAGGAATAGTTGGTACAAGTAAACTAAAAGCTAGGTTTTTTTTAAACTATTTTTATACACTTTCACGGGTAAATGGCCACCGCAGCCGTTGTTATTGAAAAATCTGCGAGCCTTGCAGACTTAACACGATCTTGCCAGGTAACCAAAAGCAAGAAAAGATGTGGCTACTAGTAAAATGAAAGAGATACATGCATGCATCGTACAATGAATTCTGTAACAAAAGGAAAAAAAAAAAAATCAAGTTGCATGATAAACTTCACAAAAAAATGATGGCTATAGATGATGGGACTATTAGAACACAGAGATTGAAAAATAAACCTAATTAGATGCTACATAATGCCCAGAGGTCATCTAGAACACTTCCATTTCAAATGCCCCTGCTGGTTCAACAAATCCACTTGACTAAACATTGTGCTTCTTCCCCTTTGTTCCACACACTTCCACAACTTTTTTTTCCCTCCTAAACAATTAAAGGTGAGCTGGATTTACCAACTCGGTTAACCCAATTATACCTAGTTGATACCTAACCCGATCAACTCTAATTTTTTTTAATTTTATTTAAAAAATATTATTTTAATATAAATTTAAGTTAAGCTGTTAATTTATAAATTAACCTGTTTAATTAACCATCCATACCTAATTTCTTATTTTTTTAAGCTTGAAAGGACAAGTCGGTTGGCTTGATATAGGGGATATGCATTGCCAGACTAGTACATTCTTTGCAGATGATATCATGATCTAAGATTTAGTCTTTGTTCATCAAAGCTAGATCACGAATATCCTTAACTGAGATCATTAATACAAAGGAAAAAGAAAATCCTTGCTCGTGAAGCTCATAGAAGATTGATGCCTCTGGTTCTATGCCAGATTCAATGAAACATTGATGATGAAGTACGTTGTTTGTGTTAGTAATATCATGCTAAATATAGTATATAATCAAATGATGAAACACAAATCTTTTCAACACATCTTCCAACGTGTCTCTGCACTGCTTGCCTCTGTCAGCTAAAGAATGAATGTTTAGTACAAGATGATGCATGAATTTTGCTGCATTAAATGAATTTTGATAGACCAGCGAATCTCCATAGTTAGGAATGATCCCAAAACTATGATACTGATACTACTTAATTATTCATTATTAGAATATTATTTTTTTGTGGCGCAAAGCTCAAATCTTTTCTTTCCAGAGAAAGTACGAATTTTTGGCTTAATTTGTTGTTTCAATATATTTGTGTTCTTGCAGGTATCTTAATTTAGTTGTTTCAACATAATAATTTTATTTGCAGCTAATGATTCAAACTTCCAAGGAAACTAGCATTGCACTGTACTGTATTGTCTAGCTATTGAAAAACAGAAATAGTATAGAAAAAATCAGAAACAGTGAAAACATAATCGAGATAAAAATATAAAATAATTTTTTTACACGATAATTTTAGAATAAGTTTTTATATTATCAAAATAAAAAAAATAAAAACATGTCTCATCCGCCTTTACTAATTTTTATCTTAATTTCCCATATAATCATTCCTATATATAACGTACGTTTTATTTAGGCATCCAGAATTTCTCCTAGTATAATCCATGTTCAAGATTAATATTTTGGAAAGGAAAGGGAAAAAAACAAAAAAAAGGAAAAATTAAGCCTTCTAAAGGTGATCTTACACATGCATACGGCCAATTCAAAGAACATTACAATATAATAATAAAAAAATGCATTCAATTGGAGATCAAAACATTATAATAATAAAACTGGATGCCATTTTTGTATGTTTCCCAGAACCAATACATCCACCCAGACAACTAGGGTTCATCAACTAAATATTATTAAATTCCAATTTTATCGTTATAAAACGCTGAAGGAGGCTACACTGAATCTGGGCATCTATTCAAAACCCTAAATGTATTCCACAAAACTTCATATGTACCGAGAAAAAAACTACATATATAATATATTGGACCAAACCCATGTCTACACCCACTTGAAACTAATTGTTTTTAATTTAATTTGCTGTTTAAAAAATGTGTAAAAAGAAAGAGTGCGAGAGAGCGCCATCACCTTCTTTCTTTCTTTCTTTCTTTTTTATCTAGAATTGATGTAGATATGGTGACATGCCAACCTATGTTGAATATTCATTTACTCGATTGGCATGCAGGAACCGTGCGCCTGTAAATCTACAATGATATTCACTCTCTTTTAAAAAGACCACGTAGAACAGTTTGAAATCCTAATTGCCGTTTTCCAAAGTTATTAAACATGTTCTAGTCTAAGATTAGGTTATAAATTGACATGTTAAGTAAATCAAATTAACATTAATTTGATTTTCTTTAAGCCAGAAGTCTAACCGATTGATTTTAGATTTACTTGTTACGTTGGGTTTAATAATTGTGGTTTGTTGGCTAAATCTTATGTTTGTGCTTACTTGCATTGTGGTACATGCTTGACTGATCATTTGCCTTGCAGAAAATGAAATCCAAAATCAATGAATTCTCGGGGATGGAGTCCTTTAGGTTCAGTCTTGGTTTAAGGCTCAACGAAGAACCCCACAAATCACGAATACATTTCTAGAATGGTGGGGAGTGGGTTAGTCGCAAATTAATAATTAATTAAACAACAAGTTGTGGCAAAATTAAAGTCGAAGAAGCTGCTATTTTTTAAGGACGTCTAGTTTTGACGTAAAACTAAGTTCACATTGTGTCGAATTAATTGACGACAAGTTTTCCTCGCCGGAGAAGAGGACAAGGGAATTCAAACGTAACGCGTTTGGTAATATGGCATAGCTTTTTTTTTTAAAAAAAAAAGTAAATAAAAATAATTTTTATTTGATTTTTAATATTGATACATCAAAATCATTAAAAAAACATTAAAAATAGTAATAATTTAATGCATTTTTCAGACAAACTCACTTTTAATAAGCGTTTTCCACACGGTTAAAACCCGTGATATCTCTCTTTTACTTGTTGAAGTATCATGCATGCTAGAATACTACAAGAAGTCTCATCAATTCCTTGATCAGTTCTTGTGCTCAAATAGATCGGATAGCGTACTCGTCTCCTGCCTTCACAAAGAAGTCTTTTCATATTTTTTGTTTTTTGAAAGAAGGTGATAGGATTAAATAAAATATAACTGTGTTATGCATGGAATAGAAATTTGTTCAACTAATTAGCTAAATATAAAACATAAATTTTAGATCATTTAAATTTTTCCACTATATGTTCCTTACATAGTAATTAAAATATTACCTTAAAATACCACAAATTACAGAGGCTAAAAATAGTAGCAACAGATTATCTAGGAGGGTCATCGCCAAATAATAAATTTAGATATTCTGTATATTTTTTATTGAACGAGGTGATCTACAATGGGATTACCTTTCCAGTAAAAATAAATATAAATGGTTGAATCAAAATATGAGCCTAGCCCGGGAAAGAAGAGTTTATGCTCCATCGAATAATTGAAGACAAATGTCCTTCCCTACTACATTATTGTCACACGCACACGTCCTTTTATTTCTTGATTGGCCGGCCGGTTACAACCTGCTAGTTCTGCTACCCCTTGCGGTGGCCTGCTTTCCTTGAATGAATTAACAAGAAGACTAGAAGAGAGTAAACACGCATGGAACTTGGATTGGTTAGTTTAATGCTCATTTAGACAACATCAGTTTTTGTCATGTAATGCAAGATACAAAGACTCTGGAAATCAAGGATTGAGCAGCATACCGTTAATCCATGCCAATTGTATTGCCGCTTTTTTACTTTATTGCACAAGTACCATGCGCAATTTAAAACCCGACACGGGTTGATTTAGAGCTAATTTAATTTTAATCACGTTGTTTAAACAAAAAAATGTTTTGATTAGGTTGCTGAATCAATTTAGAATTTTTACTGGATTAATAAATTTTTTATTTTTATTTTTTTAATATAAACAGATCCAAATTGCAGGTTAACTAGGTGTCAAATTAACTTATCAAAATAAGCCGAGTTTTAAAATAATGGATTGAACCCTTTAAAGAGTACAAAGAACTAGTGCCATAGAGCTCACTCAACTTGCACGCAAAAAAGAAATCCATGAATTGAATTATCTAATTCTCGATTCTCCAACTTGTTTCAGCAAACTTGTTCATTAGCATCCATTGAATGGATTGATCGGTTCATGAGATTATAAAATAGATTTAATTAAGAATTGGACGTGCTGACAGCTGCTTTTTTTTCTTCAGCAAGAACGCACTCCTGTCAAATGAAGAATATAGATCGATTTGATCATGCATGTTGTCGAAAGAAAACAATATATTTGCAGCTATGAAAATCAGACGCACAGAGAGAAGGAACGGAGGAAAAAAATGGCCGAAGACCATACCACTGCAAATTGACATTATCGAGTAATAGGAAACATCATAAATTATAAATGTTAAGGATTGAAAAAACAAAGATATAAACTAAATTAATCTTTTTGTTTCATAATAAATATATATTAAACAACCTATAAATGCAATCTCCTCTTGATTTATCTAGAGCACCACCATTTGAGCAAAATATAATATATAAAATAAATGTAAAAGAATCAATTTAATTTAATA